CCCTGGGGAAGGGTGGGGCGGGCCCTGCCGTGTGCTGGTAACACAGGCCCAGGGCTGCCAGGCCCCCCTCCCAAGGAGACTCCGGGGGCCAGTGAAGGAAGCCCCCAGAAAGACAGCAGAGGAAGAGTGGGGCTGGGGATGGGGCATGTGGGTCAGCCTCGGCCCCAAGGAGCAAAGGAACAAAAGAAACTGGAAAGACAGACGCTTTAGGAACACGTTTTGCTTTGGTTTTTTAAAAATATATTTATAAGAGATTCTTTCCCAGTTATTCTGGGAAAATGTTTTCCAAACTCAGAGACAAGACTTTGGTTTTTGTAAGACAAACAATGATATGAAGGCCTTTTGTAAGAAAAATAAAAGATAAAATGAGTGTGTTTCTCTGGCGTGGCCCAGGGTACCTGGGCTGGGTGAAGGAGGGTGGGGGTGCAGGGTGGGTGTAAATGGATAGCTCTCTTTGTTGGGAAGCTGGGGGCCAGGAACCCTCTCCCCAATGGGCACCAGGCCCTGGTCAGCAACCCCCTGGGCTGGGGAGGGCTGCTGCTGAGGACCATGCCAGGAAGGGTGGCCCTTCCAGGTACCCCACCCTAGGCTATGTCTGCCCAGCCTCAACTGGGGTGCCTGGTGCAGCCTCTCAGTTGAGACTGGGGTGCAGGCGGGAGCAGGGATGGGGGCTGGGCAGCTTCTAACCTCGAAGAAGAGGGACATGAAGGCAGCCTCACCCCACCCAAGCCCAGTGGTCTGCCAGCTGGAACTGTAGTGCTCCTGTGAGGCTGAGCAAGGCTCATGGCAGATAAAGGCCAAGAGTGTCCCCAGGGATCCCTCCTTGGAAAGGGCCTGACAGGCACTTCACTGCTTCCCTTCCTCTGTGAAAGGGGCCCCTAGAGCTGCGTCCTGCAGGCCCCCACAGATGGTGCTGGGCCAGAGCACACAGCCCTCCCTAAAGTCCTGATACCCTTCTGCGTAGGCTCAGGCTGGGGCACCTTGCTCCCGGCCTCGTGGTCCAACAGCAAAGAGGGGTCTTGGTGGAGGGGAAGCACAGATCCTGAATGACAGGAACCGTCTGGTGAGTGGGGAGGAAGGGCCAAGCCAGGGCTGTTAGGGGCAGGTGGCCCAGGAACACGACCAAAGGTCTGAGCCTGGCTTGCAAAGGCCTGATGGCCTTGTGATGCCCCTTTACTCTGCACTGGGGATGTGCCCAGGCTTTCCAGAAACCCCGGAAGTGGGAGTGTTTTCCAGGAAGGCCACGGGCCGTGTGGGGGCAGGGCCAGGGATGCAGACTGCAGCTCTGGCCTGGACTGGGTGCTGGGAGCTTGGGAACAAGGATGGTAGCACAGCACCTTCTCCCATGACCCTGAGACAGGAGGCAAAGTGGGCCCAGGGGCCGCAGAGAGGCTGCGAACCCTGAGCAAGCCTCCCCGAGGCCCCATGCCTGCATCCCCTCTGCGGGTCACGGCCACTGGGCCCTACCAGCCTCACCCTGGATGGAAGGAGGAAGCTCAGCCAGGCCTGGGGAGCAGGCCCTGGGGCTCAGGGCGTTGATGTCAGCGCCAAGTCAGGCCCAGCCACGCGAGGCTCTGGATTCAATTAGCGGCTGCTGTGGGTTCTGGCATGGGAAGGGAGGAGGTGGGCGGTGGGTCATGGCAGGCAGAGGATGGTGGCAGTGAGCCTGGGTGGGGCCCCTTCTTCCTGAAGCAGTGGCGGCCCAGGTGGATTTCCTGTGAGCCTGGGTCCCATTAGGGGAGCGGCTATGGTGAGGCCTGCCCTCCCCCTCGGCAGCCCTGTCAAAGGGGCCATTGTGGGCCTGTGGGCTGCTGCTGAACACAGCGTGGCTGTTGAATAAATGTTTTCACTGCAAAGCCAAACCTGGCCTAGTGGGATGGCAGGGGGTGGGGTGGGGAGGCGGGACCCAAAGACAGAGGCTAAACACTCACTCCAGCGCCTCCCAGAAAAGGTATTTGGGGTGTCCCATCAGATCAGGGCTGGGGGGTGTAGGGAGGCCCAGGGGCAGAGTGGAGACCAAGCCAAGAGGCAACCCTTACACAGGGCAATCCCAGTGGCTCCAGGGCAGGGTCCAGGGATGGACGTGGGGAGATGCCAGTGTGACTACCGGGTCCTTGCTGCTGCAGGCCCTGTGCCACATGGGCTACACATGCTCCCGTTAATGCCCAGCAAATGCCCTGCAGGAGAGAAGCACCACCGGCTGGGGAGGGGAGTCAGCAGCTTGCTCACAGCAGGCAGGGATAGGATCCCAACACAGCCTCCCTGGCCCAGCATGGGGCTGCCAGCCATGCGGGCCTCTAGGAGACGGGTGGGGCCACCGCGAAGGACAGAAGCTCCCTGGTGTGAAGCAGCAGAAACTGAACCCCAGCCTCCACCCTGCCTGGAATGGCTGCTGTGGTGACCTCAACAATCAACTTCTCTGGCCTCAGATGCCTCTTGTGGAACACGAGGAGATAAGTCCCCATCTGCCTGTGGCCGATGGGTACAGCTGACCGTTCACCCACCCAGAAGCATCGCCCCAAGACAGTGTTTCTGAACCTCCCAGTCTAGAACATGAGCTGCTCCTTCAGTGTCAAGCCTGCCCTGCCACTTACCCTCCCACCTCCACCCTGCACGGACCACAGCGCCTGGGACACCCGCTGGGCCTGCTGCCTGAGCCCGGCTTCACGGACAGGTCCCTGATGCCCTGCTCTTCCAACCATGGCATGTCTCCTCTGAGTGAGCGGCACTCCATGGACAATGGGGATGAGCAGGGAGGAGGACACAGGTGGGAGCTGTGACAGAAGCCTCTGGGAGGGTGGGGCCCTGGGCACTCCCTAGGAGATGACAGGGAGAGGTGTTTGCCTGATCCCTGGCCCCCTCTAGCTTTGAAAAGAAACACTCACTGTTCTGCTCAAATTAAGATGGAAAATCTGTAAAACAGAGAAGAAATTGAGGGGTACAGTGGAAATCCATGGCTGTCCCCGCATCTGACACCCTGCATACTTCCCATCTTCAGTCCAGATCACTCAGCAGGGCTGACACCCCAGGGAGGCTGAGGGGACAGGCGATCCGCCACCACTACACCTTGGTCCACCCGCTTTACCGAGGGCCAGAGAGTCCCCACTCCCCTGCCAAGGGTGTGGCTTGGCAGGGCAGGGGCCAGGACTGGGGGATGGTGGGGGTGGGACACTGGTCTGGCCACCCATCTGGGAGTGATTTGAGAAATTCCAGGCCTTGCTGGCCCTGCGAAGCTATTCTTAACTGCTCTAATTACAGGGTCAGCCTTGGCCAGTGGCACCGTGGGGTCTGGGCATCGTTAACTCCTCCAGAGGCCACGCTGGGGATGGGCGGGGGCTGCTCTGCGGGGGAGGGGGACCCATCAGGGGCCAGGGGTGGAGTCTGGAAGGCAGGAAGTGGTGGGTGGAGGAGCACTTGATGGCTAGCTCTGGGTCCCCTTTCCAGGCTGGGCCAGCTCTCTCCTTCTGCTGGGGAGCCCTGTAGGGAAGAGGTTGTCTGGCCTGGGAAGGTGTGGAGGAAAAGATACGAATGCAGCATCAGGCCCAGGAGCTCTTATTCTTCCAATGCAGGGGGTCCCAGTGACTGCTCCCTCCTAATCCCCGGGACCCAGAGTAAGCAGAGGACTTGCACTGTGTGGTTCTAAGGCACTGGATCTCACTCAGCTTTGCCTTCCTCATCTCCAAATTGGGCCTCACCAGCTCCCCAACCTCTCCCTGGGTTGCAAGAAGGGGTGGGAGCGGAGGATCACTGCCACTGTTATCCCTTCTCTGGGAGATGCCCTGGCAAGAGGTCTTAGGGCAGTCAGGCTTTCCCGCCCCCAAACACGGTCCATGCTACTCCTGGAGCTTGGACAGATCACTGCGCCTTCGGTGACTCAGTTTTCCAGCCGTGAAACGGAAGAGGAAGGGGATGGACGGACAGCCAAGAACCAAGACCCTCTCCTGGCTCTGACCTTCACAGATCCCTGCCTGGGGAGCACGTGGGGATCCCAGCAAGCCCCTCCAAGACTCCCAGCTGAGCAGGGCTGAGGCTTCTGAAAGGGAACCAGGCCCCCACCTCCTCCTACCCCAGCCAGGCTGGTCCCCCACTCTCCTGCACCTGTTTCCTCAGCTGTGACATGGGGAGTCACCGCTGAGAGCCTCCTGTGCCTAAAGCCACAGCGAGCCCAAGCCCCCTGCATAGAGCTGGCTTGGCCAGTCCCCACGGCACCACCACAAACCCTCCTGCATGCACTTCCAGGAGGATGGAAAGATGAGGTGCACTTGTAGTCCCAAGCTGCCTGGGTGCACCCACCCCTACCCCACCCAAAACCACCAGAGATAGGCATGTGGCCAGGGCTGAGGAGGGTTCAGAAAGCCTGTGAGTCCAAGGCCTGCCTCCCTCTGTCACTTGTGCCTCCAAGCCTGCCAGCCCGTCTGTCTCCACATCATCCCACCTCACATCACCCCATGTCCGCCCTGCCATCTAGCGAAGCTTCAGTCTTCTTGACCCTCAGCACCACCAAAATGGCCACAGCCAAACCAAGTACATTCCCACGTTTCCCATCCATGTGTCTGCTGGGTCACAGTCAGGGCCCCAAATGCCAACACACGCCAGTGTGAGCCCGTGGGCTAAAAGCCTGCATGACCAAGGGCCCCCTCTGTTGCTAGGGACCATGTGGGATGGGGTCAGTAGGCTCATCCGCTCATGCAGAGCTGCCTCGCCACCCCCTGCTGGTGAAGCTCCAGGGGTCTCTTGCAGGGCCAGGACCGGGTTTCTTCTACAAGACCTTGCAGACCAGCTCGAGCACCCCGACCACTTCGGTGATCAGCCCCTCACTGACAAGATCTGAGCCAGGTGAGGCTGCTCCACACGGACTGGGCCCCTCCACTCCACAGGTGGCCTTGCCACGGCATGGCAGAGGCCCTCACCCTGAGCGTCCACTACAGACCTGGATTCGAGACACCATCCAGGCCCTTGACCCTCCCCCCAGCCCATCCCAGCATGCCAGCCGCTCCTACCCGGGTGAGGTGTCCAGGCTGAGGGAGGTGAGGGCGCTGGAGAAGTGCCGGGTGTCCCACAGCTTCACTTCCCGCTCACGCATCTGCATGGAAGAGGCAAAGAGGGGCTCAGAGGGGCCCATCCCTCAGCCCCCTGGGCTCCCTGGGAATCTGGCGCCTGAGGACACAGCCTGGCACAAGGGTACTTGCCCCAGAGCAGAGCATGGAGGGTGTGGGGGGGTGAGTCATGCCAGGGAGGGAGAGTCTGGGTTTTCATGTCCTGCCCCTTTAAGAACCCCTAGGTGACAAGGGACAAGGGGCGGTTCTGTCCACGGACTCTCGGGGGGGGGGGGGGGCTGCCATGATTCCCAGGGTCAGGCTTAGCTATTGCAAATGGAATCTGCCAGTTTTCAGCAGCTGGAGGTCCCCTGGGGCTCTGAGACCCGGCTGCACACAGGGCCGTATATGGACAGGCCTAGAGCTGGCTGGCCATCCCCCAGCTCCCAGTGGGGCTCATCTTTACCCTCTTGGTGTGGGTGCCCTGCCCATCTGGGAGTAGCCCTACCTGGTTGAATCCAGTGGACACAAGGTGCTCCTGGGTGCCCGTCCACACCAGCCGACCATCCTTGCTGTTCTTGTGGGCCTCTGTGCTCTGGAGACAAAAGATGGCGCTGAGCTAGGCCCCTAGGTGGCTCAATTGGTTAAGCGACTGCCTTCGGCTCAGGTCATGATCCTGGAGTCCCAGGATCGAGTCCCGCATTGGGCTCCCTGCTCAGCGGGGAGTCTGCTTCTCCCTCTGACCCTCCCCCTTTCTCGTGCTCTCGCTCTCTCTCAAATAAATAAATCTTTAAAAAAAAAAAAAAGATAGCACTGAGCTGGGGCCTCCTGGGTGGGTCACCTGCCTGGAAGGCCCACAGAGGGCAGGAGGGGCTGGGATGGTAACCCCCAGAGGCTAGCTGGGGGCGGGGGAGAGGCCTCATATCACTATAGGATGGACCCCAGCCTCACCTTGGCTGAGGACAGCTCTGCACCCAGAGGGCTGACCTGGCCACCAAGCTTGAGCTCAGTCTCCCTCCACCAAAGGGGACTGTCAGGGCTGCCCTGCCACAGGGACAGGGCTCAGGGCAGCAGCACATCCTTGTCCTTGCAGGTATCCTAGAGGAGACGCTCAGCAGCCAGTCGTCATCCCCCGGCTCTGCTCTCGGAGACCCTCATTTTTCTCACTTGTGAGTGGGGCTCACATTTGCAGGGCTGTCCAAGGACCAACTGTCACCACATGCGAGAGGGACCGGCCTACTGCAGATCAAGGGAGTATGAGCATCACGGTCGCCTCCTGATTGCCAGGGCCTGGGGAGAGGGCCTGGTGCCAAGCTCTAGGGAATGGTCCCCGGAGAGGGCAGATAAGTGCCAAGTGTCCAAGCTCCTCGCTTTCCCGCAGTGCTGGAGCTGTCAGAAGGAAGGCTTCCTGGGCCCAGGGAGGAGAAGGTTCATACCACAGGCGGCCTTGTCCCCAGGGCCCAGGCGGTGGGGGGGAGCAGAGGGGGCCAGAGGAAATGCAAACAGCTCCCTCCCAGTCACCTCGGCCCCTGGAGCCTGAGACCAAAGACCCTGTTACCAAAAATAGCTCACCCCAAACTGTGGCCAGCTTCCTCCAAGCTTCCCACGATCTCCTTGGGAATGAATGAGGGAGGGAGGTAGCCTGGGAGGAGCTGGCCCAGTGTCCCCTCCCCAGCCTGCGGAGGCGGACCCCAGCGTGGGAGACCCTGGAACAGCCCATGTTGTTCAAGGGGCTTTTCTCACTGCTCCCTTCCCCACTCGGCAGCCGGCACAGGAAATCAGGGCTGGAGGCTGAGAACCAGCGCCCCACACTCCTCTCCACATATAAGGGGCTGTGGGACCAGGGCAAGGTCAGCCATGCCCTGACACCCTAGAGTCAGTGGTAAGTGTCACACGGGCCCTCCCTTTCACTGGTGTGTAAATATCCCATGTATGCAGCAAACCAGACGGCTGGCAAAGCATCGTGCATCACTCATTCATTCAACAGACACATGAGGCCTCCCCAGGCCAAGCACCATGCTAGGAGCTATGGGGGAGCCGGATGGTTCTTAGATGGATTGTCCCATCATTGCGTGAAGCGGGGCTGCTCATTCATTTGCTCTTTCATAATATGAATGTTTGAGCAGCATACTCCGCTAGGCACTGGGGACATGTGAAAGTAGAAAGGGTCCCCCACCTCACTGAATATACAAGTTGGGAGACGGAGCTGAACCAAACAGAAATCACTGTGTCCCTATACATTATTATAAGTGCCAGGAAGGAACAAAGTGGAGGTTAAGGGTACCAGCTGTCCAGTCTGGGTGAAAACCTGCCCCGTGACTAACTGCCTCATCCCAGCACGAATAGCTCTATACCTCTGTGCCTATTCCCTCATCTGTAGAAAGAGCACTGTAATGGGACAGACTTTGGAGGGTTGTTGTGGGAAGCGTTAACACTGGTGAATGTTCAGGGCGGCTTGTCTGGCACATATCCAATATGCATTTTCTTAAAAAGCATGATAACAGAGTACAATAAAAGTATAATAGAGAGAAATAGATCTAAGGTAACATTTGAGTGAAGGCGGGAAGGAACAGCAGGCATGAGCCAGGCAGGGGGCCAGCACCTGTGAAGAGTGGGGACCTGGGAGAGCAAAGGGGCCAGCGCAGCTGCAGGGGGCAGGGAGCAAGGGGGAGGAGGCGCCCCCAAGCCCCCAGGGCATGTGAACTGTGATGGAGCATTTTTCATACGGAGGCACAGGTCGGGGACGGAATCTACCTTGGCCCGTCTTCCACCTTTCTATTTCACACATGGAGAAACCAGAGGCTCAGGGAGAAGAAGCCACCTGCCTTAAGTCACCCAGCAAGACAGCTGTCAGCTGTCCGAGCCTCCTGCCCCCTGTGGGCTGGGTGATTGCTTTATGTCTGTGTGAGAGGAACCTGAGGTGAGAACAGATGAGGAGACAGAGCAGCAGCTAGAAGGCAACAGAGCTGGGATCAGGAGGGGCCCCGGGTCCCAGCTGCCCCCCCAGCACACATCCCTGGATGAGCTCGCACTAGGGGACCCAGGCTGCCCACAGGGTGGTGATGGGCAGGGCACTGGTCTCTGAGTACACTGAAGGCACCAAGGAAGCTGAGATGAGGCAGGAGCTTAGCCTGGGCCCAGCATGCCCACTGTGGGCACACCTGCCTCAGTGTGCCCAGGGGCCACAGGAAGCCCCACCATTTGGGGTGGGATGGCCACTGACCCCCTCCCCCCTCCAGTGTCCCCAGATCATTAAAATGATTTTCATTTTCAAAACTGGCAAGTCCTTCTTCCCTGACCTCAGCGGGACTCAGGGAGGAGGAGCCCTCTCTCCAGATCCCCAAATTCTCATTCTCCTGGGCAGAGGGGAGGTTTAGCTGGAACTCAGGCAGTCTGCCGTCCCAAAGTCCCAGCTCTGTCACAGGAGGCTTTAGGGGAAACCGCTGGTGGTAATCCCCAGCCTGCAGGTCAGGCCTCGGGCTTTCCCCCTCACAGGGGTGGCCTTTGTCCCAACAGGCAGCAGGGCATTCTGCTCATGGAGAAGCCCCTCGGTCCCCTTGTGTCTCCCCCACACCTGGCCCCAAGGAGAGAACAGGAGGGGCTGACAGCCCAGCACAGGGGTGCCAGGAGCAGGCACATACCCAGCATTCCAGCCGCAGGACAGCCAAATCCCTGCTCTGTCGCCACAGCAGCGCTTCCTGAATGGGGCATGGCAGCTGGAGGAGTAGCCCTGGGCTGCTGGACTCCCTCCTCAGTCTCTGGTGTAAGACCCCCACCACCCACCTATGGCCCCTCCTCGGCCAGGCTTAGTCCTGGGCTCCAGATGCTGGCCCCCCAAGGCCTGCCTGACATACACCAAAGGCACAGGTCTACCAGCCTACGCCAGAGGTCAGAGGGCTCATCCCAGGCCCCTCCTGCCCCTGACGCCAGTGCTGAAGCCTCACCACTCCCTGGACACCCCTTCAGCTGCAGGCTGCTACATCCCTGCACACCCATGGCTCCAGGGCCTTGGCCGCCCCCACCCAGGCTCCAGCACATCGAAGGGGCTTCAGCATCAAACAGATAGAGCCTGCCCAGGCTGCCCTGCTGTGACCCTGGGACAGAAATGACCAAAGGGCCAACTTTATAGGACAATCATGAGGGTGGAAAAAGATTGTGTGTGCCAAGGGCTCGGGGTATAATAAATAGTCATAAATGCAATCTAGAAACAAAGTCGGGGATCTGGGAACAGGAGGGAGCTGCCCAAGCATCCCCCAACCCAAGCTCAGATCACACAGGGCCCAGAAAACACAGCAGAGGACTCCCCAGGCTCTGGCTATAGTGACAGCCCCTAGCGCACCCTCCCCTGATGCCCCTCAACAATGCCCCCCCCTCTAGTGGGGAAGGAGGATCTCAAAAGAAGGCACTCCCAGAAGGCCTCTCCCCTGAGCTGGCCCCTCAGCTCACACCGACCCTGGCCGCCAGCAGTGGTTTTCCTAATAGAAGCCAGGTGTGGGCCAGATGCCCTGGGCGGAAGTGGGGGGCAGGGCCACGAGAAGGGCAGCATTCCAGGCCCTGCTGCCCCCGCACCAGCGCAGAGCACAGGCACCATCCCAGCAGCTGGGAGGGGGTAGGAGCCACCCACGCTCTTCCCAGGTCTCCTTGGCCCAGAAGCCCCGTTCAGGGGGGCTCCCTCCAGAACCAGATCCTCTCCTCCTTCTTCTAGGAACTTGGGATTGGGAGCCCTTTGGACGGCAGCCACTCTCTCTCCACCTCAGCACCATCATGGTTCCTGCCCGCACCCCTCCCCCCCCCCGCCCACTGCTTGCTGGAGGAAGAGGCAAGGAAGAAAGGAAGACAATGTTGGGCCAGGGGAGCTGGCCCCATACAATGCCCAGTTGGGGCAAGAATGGGGGTACCATGCAAAGTGCCCTGGGACCCTGAGAAAGCTGGAGATGGAGGGCCTCAGCCTCCCTCCTTCAACCTGGGAACCCCTTTCCAGGCAGAGGCTTGGAGGTCAAGCACAGAAAGCTCCAGAGGGGGGCACCGCTCATACCCACACTGTCCTGAGACTCAGCCACCACCGCCAGCCACAGGGCCAACCTCCCTGGGAAGCATGGCCACGGTGGGCTGGAATGGTGGGTGGGCTAAAACCACCTCTGCCTGGCTTGGTTCACCTGACAATACAGGACCTCCTTTTGGTCTTCAGCCAGTCAGAAACAGAACTGGCTGGGCTGTCTTGGCAACAAGTCGCTGTGGCCTACATGACGGGGACCCCGTGTGTGCATGTGTGCATGTGCGTGTGCGTGCTACAGGTATGGGGGGGAAGGCCCCCCACTCCTGGCTACTGCTGATCAGGTTTAGGCTGGTGAATTACCCTTGACCCCAGGTAGGGAACAAGTCCTAGAGATGGACACAGGGTATCTATGATGGGCCTGGGTTTCACTGAGGAGCTCTTTCCCTGCGCTGGCAGCAGGATCCTGATCTTTACCTTCCTCAGGAAAGAAGCCTCCTCACCTTCTAGAAAAATTTTTTAAAACTGTAAACCTACTCATCCCACTTTCTGCTTAAAACGGCTCTAACGGCTTCCCCCAACCCAGGTGACAGGCCCCTCACCACGTGCCTGGCACCGAGCTGACGTCAAATGAATGAATGATTCCCTAGTAGCTCAGTGGCTATAGCATGAGCCCAGATCCCAACACCCACTCAGGACTCAAAAGGCCCCAAGCACCCCAAGCACCATCACAGACACAAACCAAACACGCTCAGTGCCTGGGTCCCAGAGACCCCAAGTACAGAATGAGGGTCCACTGGTTATGAGACTGGAAGGGTATGGGGTGGGCAGCTGTGTCTTTCTGGCTCCTCCAAGGCTGGCCTCTGCCAACTGTGCCAGGAAGGGTAGGGGGGATGAGGGTCACAAAGAAGGAGAGGAAGCTGGAATCTCAAATTAGCTTCCTAAAGCCACAGGATGCCTCCACTGAAGGCCTGTAGACAGCCAGGCTGCACCCCACACTGTGATCAAAGTCAGGTTCTCCCAGGACCCAAAATATGTTTCCCAGTAGCAGGAGCCCACTCCCAGGTGACCCCTACACACCCACCGGGCCTTGGCCAGGGGCACGGGGTGTGGCAAAATCTCTGCCAAGAGCCTGCCCCCACCTGTACCTGCTGGAGCCACTAGAGCCTCAAGCCAGCCCCCTGCCCACAAAACTCACCTGGGAGGCCCCTGGCTTTGCTCTGGGGTCGAAGATCCGCAGCTGCTTGTCCTGAAAAAGGAGAGGAGTAAACAGAGTGCACTAGGACAGGCAGGGTCCTTAGAGGCCAGCCTGTCTCCTCCACCCACAGGCTGTGATGGCCCCACCTCCTAGTACACAGGGCTGGCATCACGCACCAGGGGACCCCTCCCCAGCCTGGTTCCTTCTCATTGTAGGGGGCAGGCCCCCGTTCCTGCCCCAGTCACCCACAATAGAGAACTCAGAGACAGGAGTTCACAATCCCTGAGCACCTACTGTGTGCCAGGCCTACTACCTGCACGATCTCTCCCCATCTTTCCAACCACCTTATGAAGTGGTGCTATCACCATGACCCCTTCACAGATAAACTGTGGCCCAGAACCAAACTCTAGGCTACCAGCTGGTAATTTCCTGGCCCTGTGTTCAGCCCAGCCCAGAGGAACACAAAAGATGATACCATTTCTACATCTAAAGAACCTGGTGTCTAAGCAGGATGGCGAGCTTACACATCCTAACCATCACTCAGCATACGGTTACTGATGCAGATTACCTAAGGATGAAGATAAGAGTAGATCAAAAAATAAATATATATATTATATATGTATATATATGTCAAAATAAAATGCCCATACTTTGCATAAGGACTTTATTCCTGTGGAATAATCAGTGTGTGCATGCGCAAATGTACATGCATAAAGAAGTGGGGGAGAGAGGGGGCAGAATTTGTATCCACTGACTACTTACAGGCTTGGCCGTGATAAATTGTTAAGGGCTACAAGGAAGGTGCAGAGTAACATGGATGGTGTGATTCTGCTGCAGCAAAAATAAACATAGATCTCTATTTGACCACATTCCTGTAGCTTTTGCAAGTTTGCTGAGCAAGAAGAAAGGTCTCGAATAGCATGCGCTGTGCATTAGTGCTGGGTACCGGGGAGGGGGAAGGTGAGGGGTGATTAGCCTTTCCTGTTTTCTTTCTTTCTTTTTTTTTTTTTAAAGATTTTATTTATTTATTTGACAGAGACAGCGAGAGCAGGAACACAAGCAGGGGGAGTGGGAGAGGGAGAAGCAGGCCTCCCGCCGAGCAGGGAGCCCGATGTGGGACTCGATCCCAGGACCCTGGGATCATGACCTGAGCCGAAGGCAGTCGCTTAACCAACTGAGCCACCCAGGCGCCCAGCCTTTCCTGTTTTCATCTTAGCACAGTTCTACCTTGTTTCAATCAGCATGGATTCATATTTTGAAAAACAATGAACCAAAAATGAACAATTGGAATTTGAAATGAAAAGCACAATACCATTTCCATTAGCACCAAAAAATCTGAAACACTTGGCTATAAATCTAACAAAATACGTACAAGATCTATGGGAAGGATACTACAAACCTCTGATGAAAAGAATCAAAGAACTAAATAAACGGAGAAATATTCCATGTTCATGGATAGGAATACTCAATACCGTCAAGACGTCAGTTCTTCCCAAGTTGATCTACAGATTCAACAAAATCCCAATGAAAATTCTAGCAAATTATTTTGTGGTTATCAACAAACTGATTCTAAAGTTTATATGAACAGGCTTAAGATTCAAAACGGTCAACACAATACTGAAGGAGAAGACTAAGTCGAAGGACAGATAATGCCCGACTTTATTCTAAAGCTCTGTTAACCAATCCAGTGTGGTATGGGCATAAGGACAAATAGACCGAAGGAAGAGAACAGACGGCCCAGAAACAGAACCCCATAAATACAGTCAACTGATCTTTGACAAAGGAGTGAAGGCAGTACAATTGGGAAAAGACAGTCTTTTCAACAAATGGTACTGGAACAACTGTACATCCACAAGCAAAAAGATCAATCTACACACAGACTTTACATCTTTTACAAAAATCAACTCGAAAGGGATCAGACTTAAATGTGAAATACAAACCTACAAAAGCTCTAGGAGATAATACAGGAGGAAATCTCAGTGACCCTGGATTTGGCAATGACTATTTATCTATTTTTAATTCACTTTCTCTTCTTGTTTAAAAAATTTTTTTCTTTCTTTATTGGAGAGAGAGAAAGAGAGAGTGTGCACAAGCTGGGGGAGGAACAGAAGGGGATGGAGAGTGAGGTGGAAAGAATCTCAAGCAGACTCCACACTGAGCATGGAACCCGACATGGGGCTCAATCTTACAACCCTGAGGTCATGACCTGAACCAAAATCAAGAGTTGGACGCTTAACCAACTGAGCCACGCAGGCGTCCCTGGCAATGACTTTTTAGATACATCGAAAGTATGATCTATGAAGGATTAAACTAGATTTCATTAAAATCATAAACTTCTGGTCTACAGAGACACTGTTAAGAAAATGAAAAGACAAGTCAGAGACTGGGAGAAAATATTTGCACAGCATGTAGAGGAGAAAAGATTTGTATCCCAAATATACAAAGAACACTTAAAACTCAAAAATAAGAAAACAACCCAATTTAAAAGGTGGGCAAAAGACCTGAATGAACACCCCACCAAAAAAGATACACAAGATGAAAAGTGAACACATGAAAGATGTTTAATATCACATCTCATTAGGGAATTATAAACTAAAACAACAGTGAATTACCACTGCACACCTATTAGAATGGCTAAAATTTTAAAAAATGATAACACTGAATGCTGGCAAGATTATAGAGCAACAGAAACTCTTATTTGCCGATGGGAATGCAAATGGAACAGCAACTTTAGAAGACAGCCTGGCAGCTTCTTACAAAGCCAAAAATACTCTTGGGGCACCTGGGTGGCTCAGTTGGTTAAGTGTCTGCCTTCGGCTCAGGTCATGACCCCAGGGTCCTGGAATCAAGGCCCACGTTGGGCTCTCTGCTCAGTAGAAGCCTGCTTCTCCCTCTCCCTGCCACTCCCCCTGCTTGTGCTCTCTCTCTCTACCAAAAAAATAAATAGAATAAAATAAAAATCTTTACAAAGCCAAAAATACTCTTAAAATATGATCCAGCGGGGCATCTGGGTGGCTCAGTCGTTAAGCGTCTGCCTTCAGCTCAGGTCATGATCTCAGGGTCCTGGGATCAAGCCCCATCCTGCTCAGCAGGAAGCCTGCTTCTCCCTCTCCCACTCCCCCTGCTTGTGTTCCCTCTCTCGCTGTGCCTCTCTCTGTCAAATAAATAAATAAAATCTTTAAAAAAAAAAAAAAAGATCCAGCAGTTATGCTCCTAAGTATTTACCCAAATGAGATATCCAGGGGCACCTGGGTGGCTCAGTTGGTTAGGCATCTGCCTTTGGCTCAGCTCATGATCTCAGGGTCCTGGGATCAAGCCCTGCATGGAGTCCCACATGGAGCCCCATGTCAAGCCCTGCATCAGGCTCCATGCTCAGTGGGGAGTCTGGTTGTCCCTTTCCTTCTGCTCTTCCCCTTGCTCATGCGAGCACGCACATGCTCTCTCTCTCTCTCTCAAATAAATAAAATCTTTAAAAAAGAACCTATACCTGTATAAATGTTTATAACACCTTTAAAGTTGCAAAGAACTGGAAGCAATCAACGTGTTCCTCAACAGCTAAACAGATAAACTGTGGTACATTCACACAATGGAATATTATTCAGTGATATAGAGAAAGAGTAAGAAGCCAAACCATAAAACTCCTAGAAGAAACATAAGGGAAAAACTTCATGATGGATTTGGTAATGATTTCTTGGATAGGACACTAAAAGCACAGGGAACAAAAGCAAAAACAGACAAATGGGACTATATCGAACCTAACTTTTGTTCCTCAGAAGATGCAATCAACAGAGTAAAGAGTCATCCTAAGGGATGGGAGAAGACTTTTGCAAATCACATACCTGATAAAGGATTAATATCTAGAATATATGAAGAATTCACACAACACAACAAAATTGAATAACTCTACTTAAAAAATGGGCAAAGGACTTGAACAGGTATTTCTCCAAAGATAGACAAATGGTCAAAAAGGTAAGAAAAGATGTTCATCATCACTAATCATCAGAGGAATGCAAATTAAAACCACGATGAGATATTGCCTCACATCCATTAGGACGGCCACTATCAAAAACTCAGGAAACGGGCGCCTGGGTGGCTCAGTTGGTTAAGCGACTGCCTTCGGCTCAGGTCATGATCCTGGAGTCTCAGGATGGAGTCCTGCATCGGGCTTCCTGCTCAGCAGGGAGTCTGCTTCTCCTTCTGACCCTTCCCCCTCTCATGTGCTCTCTCTTTCTCATTCTCTCTCTCAAATAAATAAAACCTTTAAAAAAAACAAAAACAAAAAAACTCAGGAAACAACATGCCTTGGCGAGGATGTAGAGAAGTTGGAGCCCTCGTGAGCTGTTGGTGGGCAAGTAAGATGGTGCAGCCACTGTGGAAAACAGTGTGACGGTTCCTCAAAAAAGTAAAAATAGAATTACCTTATGATCCAGCAATTCCACTACTGAGTACATCCCCAAAAGAAGAGAGAAGAGGTCACACAGAGCACATTATTATTCCCAGCACTCACAGCACTGTTCTGCACAACGGCCAAGAGGTGGGGGTCACCCAAGTGTCCACGGACAGAGGAGTGGGTAAACACAGTGTAGTATACATGCACAATGGAATATTATTCGGCACGAAAAAAGGAATCCTGTCACATGCTACAACACAGAGGAACCTGGAGGACATTATGGTAAATGAAATAAGCCAGTCACAAAAGGACGAACAGTACATGATTCCACCTACATGAGGTATCTAAGCTGGTCAAAATCACAGATATGGAGGGTAGAATGGTGCTTACCAAGGGCGGCGGGGGGGGGGCAAAGGGAAGCTGTTGTTTAATGGGTATGGAGTTTCAGTTCGGGAGACCTGTTTCACAACAATGTAAGTAACCTTCACTTTACTGTCTACTTAAAAATGGTTAAGATGGTAAATTTTATGACGTGCTTTTTACCACTATAAAGAAATAGCTGTCAATGCACAAAAAGACACGGAAGGCCCATAAATGCACATTACTAAGTGAAAGACGCCAATCTGGAAAGGCTACATGTTGTATGATTCCAACTATATAA